ACCTCTAAATATTATATAAAAAGTCCCTCATACGTTTTTAGGTAGGGTCCTCAAAGACAAGAAATCGATATTCGTATGTTTGCATCGACATTTTCGACTTTCAAACGATCTTTGTTCAGAAAACCTTATATCTACGAAGAGTAATAAATTTCGGCTAAATTATAAACACCTAAAATTCTATAAATATATTTTTAAATTATTTTCAAAGAATATTTTTGCAGAGCTATAAGCGTAGACCCTCTGCTACAATACAGATTATGTTAATGTAACGATCATCAAACCTAATCGACGATGTTTTGACGTAGCCTTCATATGTAACCTGTCACTCAAATATATTTGATTGATCTATCGTCAGAATTACTCTTCACTTTTATGATCGCCGTAGTGATAATGATGTTACTTATTTCTGGTCTAAAATTATGTTTTAAAACTTTTTCTACAAAACTAATTTACTATGGAACGGCATGAATATTAATTTCCATTATCGATATAACAGAAAATAACTCAAAACTAATTGCTTTATACGAAATGATTTATTAGAAAAATATTTCGGGGTATAACCCCGACAACAATTAACAAATTAATGGAAAACAATTACAACCGGCAATCGTGCCGATGGCAATCATATTGATTTCAATATTTAATGAGATCTGAGACGATAACGTTTGACAACGCGATAATGATAACCATCCTGAGCAAGACCTTCAGCAGGGGGCAAGTAAGTTTGTTGAGGTTGAGCGGGAGGCAAGTAGGTTTGTTGTGGTTCAGCAGGGGGCAAGTAGGTTTGTTGAGGTTCAGCAGGGGGCAAGTAGGTCTGTTGTGGCTCGGCAGGGGGCAAGTAGGTTTGTTGGGGTTGAGCGGGAGGCAAATAGGTTTGTTGAGGTTCAGCAGGAGGCAAGTAGGTTTGTTGGGGTTCGGCAGGAGGCAAGTAGGTTTGTTGGGGTTGAGCAGGAGGTAAATAGGTTTGCTGAGGTTGAACTGGAGCATCATAATGATAACCATCCTGTTGGGCTGGTCCATTATAGCTGTAACCGGAATCCTGTTTAGGATAATCATAGGCACCACTCAAATGGGAGACATCGGCAGCAGCAACACCCAAAAGGGCACAGACCAAAGCCAAAGTGAATTTCTAAAGGTACCAAAAAAAATTAAAATTAATAATTTACAATATTCGGAAATGATTTGAATGCTCACCATTGTTGCAATGTTTTCTTGTTTGAAGCTAATGTTGTAAAGACTAAATGTCGTTTGATATAGTTTCGTCAAATTCACTCTGCTTTTATATACATAGATCATTTGTCAAAATATATGTTTTTCTCTCTTTGGTTGCTGCTTATGTATCTTCTTCGTTTATAATTAGCCTGACATTGAAATACATATCGTTAAGTTCGTATCGAACGTCAAAAATAACCAAATCGATTTAATTTGGTTTTAGGAAATGACAGTTAATACAATATTAGGAAATATCTGTCACTTTTTTGTTGTTTTCTTACATTTTATTAATTTGTTTATATTTAGTAATTAATAATTTAGATTAATACTCAAAGGGAGGTCTTAACGCTTATTTTTTTTAATTGCTTTACGCCTAGTTAGATTAGAATCGTATTTTTTGTTGTATGTGAATTGAAAAAAATACAATTTTATTCAAATTAATTCGATTCATATTTGATATAATTGAAATTAATTTTGAGAGTTCATCATGCTAATGATGGACTCTCAAAATAAAGTAGAAAAGAAAATATTTTGGAAACTAGTTAATTTTTAAGTATTTTTTGAAGATTGATTTTTATAATCTCCATCGTTGCTACAGATTTGTACTACACTGTCTTTGGTATTTTGAAAGTTTTAGACATATTTTTAACCAAATCGTCTTTGCAACAATATGTGCTTGCCCATGTTTTCTTTCACCATCCAAGACCCCTGAATGTTAAATTACATTCACTTTTGACAATCCAATTGTCATTATTTTGACGGTCGTTGCCCTAATTTCCTAGCGAAATGGCTGTAATTTGGCATTCATGGCAGAAACAACACTGCGGATCATATAACCATTTCTTGACAGAGCCCTCATATAACTGTCAGAAATTTCACCGAAGTGTGTGCAGTATGGATGTTCGATACACCTACCCAAAAAATTTCCCAAATAGGTCCATGCCCCCATACTAAAGTCCTGCTTTATTTTCGGTATGTAGAAGTTTCTAGCGCAGTATTCCAAACTATGTGACTGTAATTTAGTACCTAATTTTTCAGAGCTTAAAAAACGTATTCTCCTGAAAGGTACTGACTGATAAAAATATATATATACATAGTGAATGAATAAAATGTTCGGAACCTGACTATATATTAGGTTGGGGAAAAAGAAATCCATTAGACCGGTCGTCGAAAATAAATAAAATTAGAGAAATGATCGAAGTTGACTGGCATGTTAGCAGCCCAGGAGCTAAAAATCAACCATAAAACGGTTTTAAACCATTTCCTTAAAGATGAATTCAAAAATAAGCTCGATGTTAACAGAAAAAAAGATGAATCGAATTTCCATATGCGAAGCCTTGGCCAAACGGAATGAGATAGACCTATTTCTTAAACGGATGGTGACTGGAAGGCCAGGAAGGCCAGGAAGGATCTGTTATGCATTTGGTGGGACTGGAAGGGGAATATTTATTATGAGTTGCTTCCATATGGCCAAGTTCTGATCTCTACTGTCAACAACTGGACCGTTTGAATTGACCTGAAACGGCCAGAATTGACCAACAGGAGAGGTGTCGTGGCCTCGGCAGAAACTTCGGGAGCTTGGTTGGGAAGTTTTTTAATGCATCCGCCATACAGCCCGGACTTGGCACTAAGCGATTATCATATTTTTTCTTGCAATGCAAAATTTCAATTCATCATGCAAGAAAACGGTGCATATTTGGCCAAATCGGACATTAGGAAGCATGTTAAATAAAGACCTATAGTTCACATAAAAAAATGGATTTCATTTTACAGTGTATTACATCTGTGTGCATATGTTTGTAACCGGCAAAAGGAAACGGAATAGACATATCGTTCCTTATGAGAATTGTCATAGAATCATTTTCGGAGTCTATTTACGCATGACCGTCCTAATGTTGTTGTTAAATTGTAAACAAAGTACAGGTCGCATTTATGATTCGATTGGATAAAATTTGGTACATCTCATTTATTGGGCCCAAGGACAAACCCTAATGAAATTGGCGAAAATCGGTTTAGAGTATATGTATTTTATTTATATATATTTTCTTCCGCTTTGATTTGAATGGTGCACAAAACATACATGATTTGTATGACTGCGACAAAATTTTATATAGCATACCAAATTAACCCCTGAATGGCATGTGTTAAATTTTGTTGAAATCGGTTCACATTTCCATACGATGTTATATAAATGGTGCACCATGTACGCCATATTTAGTTAGATTTGCATAATGTATTGCATTTAGTCTAAGATGATGTGTTCTAGATTTGGTTAATATCGAATCAGATTTTGATAGACAGATAGCTCCCATATATATTTTCCTCCGATTTTCTGTTAATGGTTCACTAAACTACCAATGTTTATCCGATTAACACGAAATTTGAAATACCTAATCGTATTGAGTCCATAATGACGTGTGTTTAGTTTCGTTTGGATGGGTTCAGATTTAGATATATCTTACATATATAGGCGATGATGGATACCAAACAACGGATCTAATTGGCTCTAACAAAGCTGATCTGATTGACTCTAATAAAGCCCAGGCTTATCGTGGTCCCTCATATCAATTGTAGACACTGACCTCACCGCGGTGTCACCTGGGGTAGCTACTTTCATCATCCGTTGAAATAGTGAGCTGATATGTGCCGCGAGTTCACTCATATAAACTATAAATGAGAATAAAAGGGGTTGAGACATCGGGGTAGATGCCCACACTCATAAAACCCGTCCGACAATGAAAAAGAAAGGAACAAAGAACCAAACCCCCTAATGTTGACGACTCCCGCAAACGTATAGAACAGGAACATTTGGGCGGATGTACTCAAGAAGTACACCTCTTTTTCCTCTATATTGCACTAATTTCACCTCTATATTGCACTAAAATAAAAAAATCGGTCCAGATTTACATATATATCTCGTATATAATTTTGTTGGATTTCATACAAATAGTGCACCAAAGACTCTAAGTTTGACATGAAGCATACATTTTAAAATGGCCATTCCATATCAATGGTGCCCTCCTACCGACAGGATATTGTACATAGTAGCATCTGTTCTATGTACCCAAAATGGTGAATGGTATTATAACCCAGAAAAAAATAATTCAGCATAGGTCAAGTTTGCATTTTATGGAGTGATGGATGTGTTGCTAACTGTAAAGTTCATAAAGAAGCCGGACAATTTTTAGCTTCTGTTACGACTGCTAACATGTCGTTCAACTTCGATCATTTCTCCGTTTTTATCGACATTTTCGACGACCGGCCTACCTGTGAGAAGTGCATCTTTAACAAAAAAAAATCCTGAACGGAATCTACGAAACCAAAATTGCACATAATTGGCTGTTAAAGTATCGGAACCACCATTCACAATTTTAGCATGGCCCCAAATCATTTTCCAACAGAAGTGCCTGTAATTTGGCACTCCGTAACCTTGCCGATTTTTTCTAAATCCTTCTTGTAGCCCATGACATAGCCCCTCATATCATGATTCCGAACAATTTCAAATTTTTTGAATGCGGTCCTAACGTGTGAGTGCATAAAAAGTTCGGCACGGTCGAACTAAACGGTATTTTACTTGTCTAGAAATAGTTTGCTCAGTTACATTAGCCAAACAATAAATTTGCCGATCAGGATGTAATAATAATTAAAACAGAACGTTTGATTTAAAGTCTTTATTTCGTGTATAAAAAAATCTATGTCAAAACAACAATAACAATTTACAATAGAAAACAATATAGACATTCATAATGGAAGTATTTAGATCACAGCATAGGTTTTCGATTCACTTTTTAATGAGATCTGAAACGATAACGTTTGACAGTGCGATAATGATAACCATCTTGAGCAAGACCTTCAGCAGGGGGCAAGTAGGTTTGTTGGGGTTGAGCAGGGGGCAAGTAGGTCTGTTGGGGTTCAGCAGGAGGCAAGTAGGTTTGTTGAGGTTGAGCGGGGGGCAAGTAGGTTTGTTGAGGTTGAGAAGGAGGCAAATAAGTTTGTTGCGGCTCAGCAGGAGGCAAGTAGGTTTGTTGGGGCTGGGCAGGTGGCAAGTATGTCTGCTGTGGCTGAGCAGGAGGCAAGTAGGTTTGTTGGGGTTGGGCAGGAGGCAAGTAAGTTTGTTGAGGTTGAACTGGAGCCTCATAATGATAACCACCTTGTTGGACAGGACCATTATAGTTATAACCAGAATCCTGTTTGGGATAATCGTAGGCACCACTCAAATGCGAAACATCAGCAGCAGCAACACCCAAAAGGGCACAAACCAAAGCCAAAGTGAATTTCTATAAAATTAAATAATCAAATTAATTATCCATTCTGTGTGGAATTTGCAGATTTTTGGATTACTTACCATATTAGTATTGTTTTCTTAATTACACCTTATACAGCAAAAGATGAAATTGAATTGTTATAGTTTTGTTTAGTGCCCGCGGCTTATATACTTACTCATCGTTTGTTCATATTATTCTGCCTCAAATAGTTATTATTGTTTTTTTTTTTTTTTTTGTTTTGTTGTGATTGTGTTATTATTGGACTGACATTGAAATTGCTCTTATTGTCGAAATTAGTAGTGAAGAGACTATAACAAATATCATTAGGGATTTTAAAAATATAAGAACTGTTATAGCTATAAACGTTTATTTGTTTGAGAGCATTCTGGAGGACATTTAGGTAATATTTATTAGAATTACTATCATAAATAATACAAGGTTGGAATTTTAAGAATATTTGTTGAGACCTTTTTTAACCCTACGGTCAATAACCAAAAATGTATACGTTGATCAATAACCGTGGTACATTTGTACCCATCCAAAGATAGCTATGTAACTCATTAAAAAATTGGACTATCGTGAGGTTTTTTGTTTTAAATTAGTCTATACGGATCTGATCTAGATGTAGGAACACAAAATTATATATACATTAAAATAATATATATTTTAATCCATGCTTAAATGATAATCTATCTAAAACAATCATAGTAAATTGGTTATAGCTTTCGAATGGGTTAAGCTTTTTTAGTTATGTTTTTATTGGGATCTTATTTAGATGTTCCTCAACCTCTCTGCAAATTTTTGTGGCCCTAGACAACATGGGCCATCAGGGCGACTCGTGGAAATCAGAAACTACCTTGGTTTTCCTTTGATCCAAATATCTTCATTATTAAAGTTTTACAGCATTTTTATTTAAAAAAAAGGTACAATTGTTCCCGGTTATTGACCGTAGGGCTAAGGAGTATGCTTATTATAACCTTGAGCAATATATTTTTCAAACTATTTGTCCAACGTGCAGGATATTCGTTGAAAAAGTATTGGCGAGGATTTTTAATAAGAATTGTGTATATAGCATTGTCAAGAATTTTTAAAGATTATTTTTGAAGAGTTATTTTGGTGTGTCCGTCCGTCAGTCCATTATGAATTGTAAACACGATACAGACCACAGTTATGGCCCAATAGTCGCGAAGTGCTGCATGCTGGACGGATTCAAGCCAAAGAAGACCGCTATTGTTTTTGATAATAATCGGTTCATTTTTAGAGTATGAAATGGACCTATAACTTTATTTTTATCTGCTTTTCTCGCTTTATAGGCTACAATTTTGACCCGAACACCACCATATTATACAAGCGGTCCAATGGACTCCAGACTTTTGTTGAAAATGGCAAAAATTGAATACTATGGCTTATATATTTAAGCCTGAAAGATACAAACCCGAGAAGATATACTATCATACAAAAAATCGTGATTCGGAAAGATGTCCACAGACATCTAATTGGTCAGCTTTTGAAATACTAATGCTCGGAATGTATATCCGCAAAAGAGAAACATATAGTTGTGTGCGGTATCATATAGACGGCCATAGCACATATGTTTTCAACTTACTCACAGTTTATATGGGACAGACGGAGCTAAAATAAGATGTATCGGTCGGATATATCGTTATGGCACCTTCGGAACTTTTTGTTTAGAGATCTATATCTCAGTACTTATTCGACTGATATTAAAACAATATGGCTGGTTATTGTCCTCGTAATTATAAAAACTAGATATTCGATAACTTTTGATCAAAGCTAGTGATGTACAATGAGAGCCACATAACGAAAAAACCCCATTGCCGGATGTGCCCCGGTCTAATAACATTTTTTGTGAATAGCTACAGAAGTGGAGTTTTTAAAGAATATTTTGAAAAAAAAAAATTAAATGTGGATTATTTAAATAATATTTTTTCGGGGATTACCGGAGGTTCATTATAAGTCAATGAAAAAATATTGATAAACCATATGTCAAAAGCGCAAATTAAAAAGAATATATAAAGATACTGGTGACCAAAACTAAAGCAACTGAAATTTCAAAATGAATAAATGACCTGTAACTTTTGTTATTGAATTTTTTTAGAAATAAATAGGTAATTTATTCACTTGGAATAAAACACAAAAAATAATAAGTATTCTATGGAAAAGCAAATTTACCGAATTTAATCTTGGTCAGAAGTAAAGCAACTTTTTGATGTTTTCTTATAAATAAGCAAAGTTTGCTGGTAATCGCCAGCATAATCAATATTTTTCTTCACGATAGCACACCTACAAGGCATTCAATCAATAAAATGCTACATTTTATCCTTGGGTATACTACTCTTTGCATCATGGGAAGAGGTCCTTTTGGGAAACTCTTGATTTTTATATCTATGATTTTCCTATAGGATAAAGATCTGATGATTGTGTTGGTCATTATAAAACCCTGATTTTTGACTCCCGCTAATAATCCTTGACATGTTTCGGTGTATGTTTGTTAAATAATATAAAATTCATACATAATGATTGAACATTTTTAAATAATATTTTTTGAATGTCATTGTAAGCGAACATTTGTAAGAATATATTTTTTGAACCACAATAAACATAGAATTCCTAAGAATATTTGTTTGAGGGACTTCGTTACAGGGTATTATGTCTTTGTGCATATGTTTGTAACAAGCAAAAGGAATCGAGATAGACCCATGGTTCCTTTTGAGAATATGCATCGAATCACTTTCTGAGTCGATTTATGCATGTCCGTCCGTCTGTTGATGTTAAGTTGTAAACAAAGTACAGGTCGCATTTATAATCCGATTTGGCTAAAATTTGGTACAGCTCATTTATTTGGTCCGTGGACGACGCCCATTGATATTGGTAAAAATCGGTTCAGATTTAAAGCTCCATTTTTTTTATAAATGGAGCATCAAAGCCATATCGTACTGAATTGATATTCAAAAAATAGGATTAGTTTAGCTTGAAGTCTTTTTTTTTAGTTTTTAAGTTCCTATATATCTTTCGATTTGTACGAAATTTGTCATAGCGTACTGAATTTATATGTGCTAAGTTTCGTGAAAATCCATTGAGATTAGATATAGCTCCGATATATATTTTTTCCGATTTTATGTAAATTGTACACTAAAGATCCAACGTTTAGCTGATTGGCACACAATTTTGTACTATCCATTATTTTTATATGAACTATAGGACTTTAATTTGGCATGCCAATTTGTCCGATTTGGGCCAAATACGCACCGTTTTGTTGTATGTTACCATTTTAAAAGTAATTTCATAATGCCTCTCTCTATTTGTAAAATTTCATAATGCCTACTCTCTATTTGTAAAAGCTCTAGTAGTCGATTTTCACAATCTTCCCTAGATACCAATTTTTATCATTAAAGAAATTTTGCAATGCGAGAACAAAATGATAATAGCTTGGTGAAAAGTTCAGACTGTATGGCGGATGCATTAAAACTCCCCAACCAAGCCCCTGAAATTTCTGGCGAGTCACTGTAGATGTGTGTGGCCCAGCTTTGTCCTCTCCTGTTGGCCAATTCTGGTCAATTGTAAATGGTTTAAAATTTTTCAGCTGGTCAACTTCGATCATTTTTCCGATTGTATCGACATTTTCGACGAGGTGCATTTTTAACATCAAAAATTCCTGAACGAAATCTACGAAACCAAAATTGTTTCTGGTCAATTGTAAATGATTTAAAAAAGTTTATGGTCGATTTTCAGCTGGTCGACTTCTATTATGTTTTCGATTTTATCGACATTTTCGACGAGGTGCATCTTTAACAACAAAAATTCCTGAACGAAATCTACGAAACCAAAATTGCACATAATTGGCTGTTACAGTATCGGAACCATAAACACCACTCACAATTTTAGCCGCTTGGCTTGCATTTTCGCCTTTGTCTCTTTGTTCACTTCCATTCCCAACTAAATGCACCAAACAAAAAACAGCAAAATAATGTTTTTTTCTCCGAAGTGTCGCCCTTCCAACGAGCATTAACCTGAAATTGTTTGATCGATGTTTACGAGTAATGACCTATACACCCAAAGCGTGGCCGATTGACACAGCATATTGCAAAACGTGCTAAAGTTGATACAAATTTATCTCATGTAAGTTTCATTGAAATCCCTTCAGTTTTAGATGTTTATCCGATCGAAAATATCCCACATTTTAGTTCGTTCAATTTCATGTCAATGTTCCTTCGAACAGACTACAAAATAACATTCGATGTGGATGGATTAAAAACTATTAACTTATAATTTTTGAGGATATGATCGTGCATTTTTATACCCTTCATTTAAAAATATTTTTGCTTAGTGATATTGGTCAGATGTCTGATATCCTATGTAATATTTAATGAAAAAATTGCATCCTTAATCCGAACTACATTGGAAGTTGTCGAGAAATTTGTTAACTAACATAAAAACAAGAATTTTGAAATTATTCTTAGCTTAAATAAAATCATGATGTAATTTTCCTGATCCAATTTTCCGATTCAAAAAATTTAAGTCAATTTTTTGTTTTAAAGTTTTTATTTCGTATACATAAAATCTATGTCTAAATAACAAATTTAACAATTTAATAGAAAACAATATCGAAATTCACAATCGAAATATGTAGATCACGGCACAGGCATTTCATTCAATATTTAATGAGATTTGAAACGGTAACGTTTGACAGTGCGATAATGATAACCATCTTGGCCAAGACCTTCACTAGGGGGCAAGTAGGTTTGTTGGGGTTGAGCAGGGGGCAAGTAGGTTTGTTGAGGTTGAGCAGGGGGCAAGTAGGTTTGTTGTGGCTCAGCCGGAGGCAAATAAGTTTGTTGGGGCTGGGCAGGGGGCAAGTAGGTTTGTTGGGGTTGGGCAGGAGGCAAATAGGTTTGTTGAGGTTGAGCAGGAGGCAAGTAGGTTTGTTGAGGTTGAGCAGGAGGCAAGTAGGTTTGTTGAGGTTGAGCAGGAGGCAAGTAGGTTTGTTGGGGTTGGGCAGGAGGCAAGTAAGTTTGCTGAGGCTGGGCAGGGGGCAAATAGGTTTGTTGGGGTTGAGCTGGAGCCTCATAATGATAACCACCTTGCTGGACTGGACCATTATAGTTGTAACCGGAGTCCTGCTTTGGGTAATCATAGGCGCCACTCAAGTGGGATACATCAGCAGCAGCAACACCCAAAAGGGCACAAACCAAAGCCAAAGTGAATTTCTAAAATAAAGAAGTTAAAATTAAATAAAATATTTCAAAATAATAATTTGGTGATTTTCGTAATACCCACCATATTAGTATTGTTTTCCTAACTGCACCTTATGCTGCAAAAGATCAAATTGAATTGTTATAGTTTCGTTAAATGCCGGCGGCTTATATATACACAAAATTTGTGCGCACAATACTGCCTCCAATAGCTGGTAATATTTTGATGCGTCTACTTCTCTTCGGTGTGTGTGTTTGCTTTTTAATTGGACTGACATTGAAACTCCTCTTATCGTCAGTTTGAAAATATAAAAATCAAAAAACTTTAAAATAAATAACACAAACATTAAATGAAATGCCCAAAATTTTGTGTTATGCGTTTGAAACCACCAAAGTCCATCGAAAAAAACTCAAAAACCCAAACCGAGAATTACACCACAAAAGCCAATTGCAAGAAATCGTCAAGTCATGTATGAAGATAAACCAAAGATGATCGATAATTTTTTGTATTAGAATACCAGAAATATGTTATATGAGCCGTAGTGAACATTGGGGTGGTTTCAATTTAAGGCGTAAGTCTCAATTAATTTTTTTGTTTTTTTGTATTCAATAAATCCATCCAGTTCGATTTTTTTTTTGTACACTCAACCATCAGAATACATAAATATATTTAGATACCTAAAAGATATATGGAGGTTATATCATGGAGTAATCGAAACAACAAATTACGAACAATAAGATTGGAAAATTTGGTTAGGAACTTGTAAACATTTTTAAAAAGCTTAATATTGGAGGGTACATTTTTATAATGACTATATCCGATATCCGTAGGCCGATATATCAGCTTCCAAGCACTCTAGAAGTAGTAGCAATGTATATGGGCACTTCCGCAGTCACTTACACGCCCATATGCAGAATGTCAAATGACTAGCATAAATATTCCGATCCCTATCGGGACTACCACGACGAATAGACAAATATACTTTATGGGATCTTCGGTGAATATATCGGGACTACCACGACGAATAGACAAATATACTTTATGGTGAATATTCGGTGAATATATCCGATCCCTATCGGGACTACCACGACGAATAGACAAATATACTTTATGGGATCTTCGGTGAATATATCGTGGTGTTACAAACGATATATTGTACCCTAAATGGGAGGTCGTAATATTACCTTATACCATTCCACCCTAATACATACATAGCACACACCAAACGCACTATGCCGCTTCATAAAAACCATGAAGCGTCACTTGCTCTACGTTTGCAGCACAAAACATGAAACACAACCTTTTTTGTTTAAAAATAAATTCCTTTGCATAGCTTAACATCGATTTCAATGTCAAGTTTATTTGTGTCTAGATTTTGGCCACTAATTACTGTTATCTAGACTCTCTAGAGCACTTCAAAACGTAAAGCCTAAATTAGAAAAACAAAAAAGAAAACAGGTTAACACATTTAATTAAGTCAAGGTATCATCATCACCATCATAATAGGAGGCATTTGTATTCATAGCAATAAAATCGATCCACAATTGTGGGAGAGATTAGTTAAATAAATAGCGGCTTTTTAATGGCTTTTCTACCCTCATCGCTTAATTGCCTCACGAACATTTGAGATGTCACGAAAAAATTTCCACGACATTGACGTCGACATTTTTGGCCCAATTTCGTTGATTTATATTTTCAATCGATCGTGTAAAGTGTGCCTACTTTTTATGTCGCAGGTGATTCGATCATATAAAAAATGTTTGAAAATTTTAGACTCGAATGTGTATACGATTTTTTTACAATAGAATTAATGTAGATTGGTAACATTTTTTTAATGTGACATAACCTTCGTAAAAGGGTCCAGTCCTGCATTAGGTATTGTAACATTTTCCACACTGGTTCTAGGATATACACTTAAGCATGTAAGTGGCCTGTTGTACGCTCTAGAGAAGGATTGTCCTAAACTCCAAGGAATTCTGTTTTGTTTGTGAAGTCTCTCCAAAGGTGTAATTTCCTAAGAATTGGATTGAGAAGTTTGAGAAGGCTTGACTTTCCTGCTAGCTGTCAGCCATCTGAGTAACAAAAGTTACCAGGGGACATTTTTGCTTGTGTTCCGCTCTCCCATGAGTCCCTGCCTGATATCATAGATTCACATTTTGTGATTATTCTTATTTCAAGTATTAGGCTCATAACTACCAATTGAGAATGCAATTATGGCTTGTAATATATTATGGTGCAGTCTTATGTGTCTGGTGTAGATCCCCTCGTTTATAGCATTAAGTCTGAAAGCTATGACGGCTGGATGTATATGCTATATTTTCCCCAAAGCTCTAGTTGGTGTTGTCCTAATTGACCCACATATACGGACTTTCTGCAAAGATTTTATATTACATTTTTGTCCATTTCTGTCTTGTGGACAACAATTGTCCAATGGTCCTTCTGCAGAAGGACTTATATCTGTGGACTTTGTCTAGCCGTTCCTTGTTCTGTATAGGACACTCATGCTCAGAATAGTACTTTGGCGGTGATGGCTAAACACGCATTCTCCTTTTTTTCTTTTCGTCAGCCATTTTTGACGTAAATACAAGACGTAAATCCGTCTTGGCTGGATTTACGTTAAGGCCTCTCGGTTCGCCCAATTAACAACATATAACGCCCAATTAACATCCAGTATAAAGGGTCAATATTTTGAAAACATGTAAATCGTAATATGTTTAACAAGATTACATCAAGTCCGATCCACCTTGGGTCCACTTCTTCTTGTACCTCTCCCACAAAGTGACATAGTTTTGAAAATGTGCACATCTAATATTAAGATAATGGAATGTCCAATTTATTATATTTTACAAGTGCCAAGATATCCATCTTCAAGCCTTCGGTTTGGAGTTTTACTCATTGGTAGAATTTCCGGACTTCATTCTGACTCCTGTACATTTCCATTTGCGCACGTTCATGTTTTTTTTTGGTCTTTCTTTTTTTCTGCAAATACGTTTCTCCTCTCCTTTTCTCCTCATAATTCTCTATCGCATTACCTGTTGCTACTGTCCGCCCTATACGCTGCGATTTTCGCCTCAGTAGCATTACGACACTCCTGATCGTACCACGGGTTTCTTGGTGGTGAACTTAGAAACACAATAGTTTATTTGATGCAGTTTGTAGAGAGTGGGAAATTATTTGCCATTGTGCTCCTATGTTATTATCGGGACAAGGAGTGCTTTCGTCTGGCACGTGGGTAAGTTGAGCGGAGTAGGCTTCTGACATATGTTGTGTTTGCAGCTTTTCGACGTCGAATTTCCGTGCTACATTAGATCGCACCTTTGCTACTAAATTAAGACGTGTGCGAACCTTGGCTGTCACAAGGTGTTGATCTGATAGTCGCTTCTCGGATCGATCGAACGTCTAGAACACAATATGATCAATTTGATTTCTCGTTACTTGATGAGTAGAACTCCAGGTGGCCTTGTGTATACCGAGATGATTGCCGTTACGCCATCGCACTTCCTGTAAGGCAATTATAACGGGTTTGTACTTCTTGAGTACATCCGCCAAAGCGAAAACTGCGCCTGTTCTGTACAACGAGCGCACATTCCAAATGCTGATTCGCAGATCGTGGTCCTTTATACGTTTACGGTGGTCGTCAACATTAGGGGTGTTTGGTTTTCTTTTTCTTTGCTTTTCATAGTAGGAGGGGTTTTCCGAGTGTGGGCAACTAACCCGACGCCTAAACCCATTTTTTATAGTTCTTATGGGTGAACTCGCGGCACATATCAGCTCACTATTTCAACGGGTTATGAAAAAAGCTACCCCAGGTGACACCGCAGCAAGGTCAGTGTCCACAATTGAGATGAAAGAGGGACCAAGATAACTATTTGAAAGCCAATCAGGGCCGTAGCTTTATATCTATCATCATATTGTGTTTTGTAAAAATTGGTGCAGATGAAAATATAGTTCCCATATATAGAAATTTTCGACTGACTTAATTTTAATTGTGCACCAAATAATGATCTGGTATCCAATTGACATTAAATTTTGAACAGAGCTTTGTACTGAATAGTTGGATTTAAATCGATTTACATAATTTTGAACTGTCGTCCTTCAAAAATCCGACGTCTGTTAGGATGCATCTCTAGAATATACCCAAAGTGGTAAAGTGTATCATATAGTCGGCCACGTCCGACTTTACTACTTATACAGTAAATTATAAATTGTACATATTATAATTATAATGTTACTACTATAAACATTTATTGTTGTAAATTAAAGCGTTTCTATAAGAATGACCTAAGTATCTTACACCATTGACGGAATGGAAGAAGTCAAAGCGTAACACAGAAAAATATACCCTAAATTAAAAATTAATAACCAATCGTTAAGTGAATCGTTATACATCGCCATGTATTCGTTTCATTTACAACTTTAACACATATTGGAAACACGTTTTTTTATTTTTGATGTAGGTAAATCTTATTTTGGGAGCATACATATAGTCATTAATGGAACAAAATAATTTACTTAAATCATTAATCATGTTTTGTGATGGACGAAAACTGGAGAGGTATATTATTCGTAAAATGCCAGCAAAACATAGTATAATACAAAACAACAAAACCAACAACAATGGGAAAACCCATCATAACACTGATCCCAAATAACCCCCCCATTGGCATCAGGGTAACCTTTACACTTGAATGTGCATTTCCAATGAAATGCCCATTATTATCATCATCGTGTTTATCAAAATCGTTATTATCTTCGTGAGCATCAACGGAAGTACCACTACCAATCAACCATCATCGTCATTTCGTTTTCATTTCAAATTCACACAACAAACGTTAACGATTACGCTTGGGTCAATAGTACCACTTACCCAGCGATGGAGCACTGACAGTATAATAAATAGTTCGGAGGTGTTTCAGATTGTTTTGGATTATTCGTTTTGGAATCAAAGTGAACAAGACTTTTTGTTTACTCTGCCTTTTCTGATTGACCGATTATTTATCGTTCAAACCTCTCA